CAGTGGACATCGCAAAGTTCATCTGTTTGGAAATCGGAGGATGCTGATAGGGTGGATACTTCACGTTCGGCTGTATCTGTCCGTTCTGCAGAGTTTTAGGATACGCCTGATTTGGCACCACACAATTTTGTTGATCTATCTTCTGAAGTGGTGGTTGTCGTTGATAGCTGTCGTGTCTTTGCTGATAGTTCTGTGTACTTTGCTGTTGCTGCTGCTGCTGCTGCTGCTGCTGCTGTTGTTGCTGCTGTTGCTGTTGCTGCTGCTGCTGCTGCTGCTGTTGCTGCTGGTAGGAGGCGGGCACACTAGGCGGTGGTTGATACTGCGGTAGCGGTTGGCCCATTCTGTTCTGCGGATGAACAGTTTGATAAGGATGACCCTGATAGGAACTTTGAGAGTATTGACTTTGACACGGACTCGGCGATTGATTAGGCGGATACGAAAACTGTTGCTGCGAATGCTGGACAGTTATCGGGCTTGCATTGTGAGAGGGAATCCTTTGATTCAACGCGTTCTGTTGAATCATCGTCTGCTTGTTCATTTGATTATGCTGCTGCTCCAATTGATAATACGTTCCGTAGCCGTTCTTCTGCGGCAGTACTTTTTGCATGCCATTTTGAATGTACTGTCCGTGCATCTGTGTAGGATAAGGGCTGGCTGGCTTCTGAGTTTGAGATAAAGGTATAATCTGATTTCTCGGATGAGTCGTTTGCGTCTGCGGATACATCGATTGTACATATTGCGTGTATCCGTTCTGTGTGTATCTGATTTGCTGTTGCAGCTGCGGTAAATAAGACGCGGTGGATTTTGCAATATTCACAGGCACGCCAGCATAAGTGTCTCTACGATCGACGACATCTTTCCCTTCATTCGCACAAGATCCGCAAGATTTCTTGTCCGCCAGTGATCCGATAGAATCGTTTGAATTTTGTCGTCCAAATGTAGGTTTAATGGTGTCCGGAATTGGATTAACGCTCCTCAGCTGATCCTGGAAAGGTGTCGCCGGCATGCTATCGGCTTCGCTCTTTAAAGGAAGAGTCTGCTGTTGGAATTTCATGGCAGTGTTCTCGCGATTCATCTCCGCCTCCTGGAGACTTCTGATTTCTCGCAGCACTTGAGCAGTTTCAGGTTTGTTCATCGCGGAACGCAGGACTCTCTCCAAAATAGGATTCGGTATGTACGAGTCCTTCTCGTCGTCCTCCGCCGTTGCAACGAGCACCACCTGGTCGCAAAACGACACGCTTTTCTTCTTGCCTATCCGCCGTTTCACCTTTTTCGGGGCAATGTCCTCCTCGCTTGGCAGTATCGTCGTGTTTTGAATTGTGTTCTGCAACGCCACTTCGCTGATGTCGTCTTCCGGATAATCAACGGGCAAACCATTCTCATGAGGCAGTGTCAAGGACATAGATAATATCGCGGCATTCAACTCGCTCTGCTGAGCATTGGAATTGTTCGGCGGCACTGCCGCAATAAAGGCATTTTGACTGGAATTCGATTCAAAGCTCGAATTTAAAACGGATTGAGAATTTGAAGGTTCGGTTTTCGTAAACGTTACGATATTCTCGGAGGATAATTTAGTTGATTTTGTTTCCTCCATCGATAACGATTCCTGGGATGTAAGCATCGGAGAAACGCAGTTCTGTTTCGTCGGGGATTTCGCGTCTGCTTCTGATTTCGGAGTTGGTTGCAATTTAATTTGTTCGAATCTGGCGGCCATGTCCTTCACCGAGGAAACGACCCGCGGACAGTCCGTAACGTCGCGACCTTGATCGTATCCCTGTCCGAGAGTGTTCATCATCAAGTCGCTGGTTCTTCTGGCGATAGTCGACCCTTGAATTGTCGGAGTCCTGACTTTGGGAATGTCCTGATTCAAAGATTCCTGCCTCTTCATCTTCCTCTCTGCCTGTTTAGCTTGCAGCTCTCTCAGCCACGTTTCACTCGATGACTTGTCTTCGTCCTCGTGCTCCTCCGGTCGCTTCTCTTCATTTTGATGCTCAGCCAAGATCTGCTCCCTCTTGCTTTGCAGCTGCGCCAAGAGACTGCTGATCTGCTGCCCTTCGAATTGCTGCACACGTTGTTGCGGTTGAACGGAACCTTGATGCTGTGAAGCCTCTTGTAAATGAATCGGCTCATCGATCGGCGGCGGCGGCGGCGGGAAGTCCTCGCTAGCTTGTCGTGAATGCGACACCGAGTGGATCGACGGATACGGAGGAGGCGGGAAGTCCTCGCTTGGCTGTCGCGAATGTGAGACATTGCTGTTTTCAGGATAAGGTGGCAAAGAGTCCGGCTGAAACTGTTGCTTCGTGGGACTTTGTTCATTGTGCACGTCCGCACGAGTGACGACGAAGGTCGGCTCGTAAAATATGCCGTTGGCATACTGCACGACGTCGTCCTGAATCCTGGGCTTGTTGTTGTAGCTCGGTTGACACGTTCCAGAAATATTGGTGCTTTGTTCTTTGTAAGACGGCAAAAATGGAAGAGAATGCGATTCCGAAGAGTAATCAGAATAGTTGGAATTTCTATTCGCCGCGTTGGACGAGTTGCTCGCATTCATATGATTCCAATAAGCGTTGTTCTGATCCTGCGACGAGTTGGGCGCGCACCGACCGTCCGGCAAAGGATACACAGCCTTGTCGGATTGCTGCTCGTTGTGCACTTCGCCCGAACACTTAGACTTGCTAAGCTGAGAAGTGGTTCTGAGTGGCGGGGGCGGAGGGACTTTTGCCACGTGTAAGACTTTGCCGGCGCTACCGTGGAAGCTTTTCCTCATCAAACGACTTCTCTCAAGATTCGGATTACTGGTGTTTCCAGGTCCGCCATTTCCGGTGAACTCTAAGTGTCCCTCCGATAAGTAACCGCTCAGCGATTGACTTGCGTCGTTTCCTTTCAAACCGACGCTGGAATCGTCCACTGATTGTTTCGGTAACGTGTTGGCGGATCCCTCCGTAGCTACGTTCGTCTGGCCGTCCTGTCCTTCTCGTAAATCCGGCATGCTTCTGTTCTTCCTTTTGATCAGGCCGCCCATAAGCAATTTCCTGCGTATCTTGTGCTGCTTTTTACCCTGTTTCTGCTCGGCCGCAGCCGTATTGTTAGGCTGCGCGCTTCTGACAGCAGTTACATTAGGCTCGATGATTTCCTTCGGTTTCTCAATCTTCACTCCTTTTGGAGACGGCGATGATCGGGATGGCGCTATCGAAAAATCCTTTGACACGTTCTTATTCCTTTCCTCGCTTCTTGCGCGTTTTTTATCTTTCTTGTCGTCGTCGCAACGTTTTGTACGACTGAACAAGCCAGTCCTTTGTGTCGGGCGATCGTAAAGCATGTATTCCTCGTCCTCAATAACGTTCACTGCTGTCGCTTTGCTGCGTAGAGTCTTCTTCTTCGGTAAAGTGGCGTAAATCTCAATACTCTTCGTGGCTGGTTTATCCACCACTGTCGTTGGAGCATTTATCAAAAGTTCTCGACTGTTTTGCCTTGAATGATTCCCTTTATCTCGCGAACTCTGTCTCGAATGTTGACCCGATTTACTACTCTCTCGCGAATGTCTCCCTTCTAATGCTCCTTCTGAAAAAAGTACAATGTTAGTTCTACCGTCTTTGCATACCTTACTAAAATAATCGATATTTCAATCGCTTACCTTCTTTGTCACCGTTAACGGTTACTTGTTCTTGCAGCATTCTCCTGTGTAAACTCCTCGTTCTCATGACACAAGTATTGTGTTTCATTCTTGCTATCGTGATCGTCTGAGGATTATTATACGGAGCGTCCATCGCGGCTCTGGCTTTACTGCTGGCAGCACTGCACAAGGCCACGGCTGTGTTAAGATCGCCGGCATCTTCGGCGGCGCGAGATTTATCCAGCAACGCATCCGTTTCCTTGCACAATCGTTCGCAGTCATCGCCGGAAGAAGGCTGATAACCCTCCGGTATTTGAGCAAGCTGTAACAGACAATAATCGGGTTAAAAACAAATGCACATAAATAG